AGGCGTCTGGGTCACCCTCAGAGACTAGCAGCATGGAACAGAGATGAGGAGCAGCCTCAGACTGGAAAACAAGCTTGTACTGCCTGTCCTCTATGACATCATTGCCAAGGGCAGGAGCACTCCTGACGGACGGAGGACAGACAGGGTCAGAGACTAGACCGGGGGTGTCACAGGATCGAATGTGTCGAGGAAAAGTTGCACTATCGATTGATACAAGGTGATTTTATACTTCTAAAGTACATTAGGTAACCAGGTTTATCCTATCCAAAGCGAATAGACCCTTCTACAAATAGAATCACCTTGCGTATAGCCACGCGAGGCTATTGGCTTTAAGGGATTACGACAGGATTACGCTAGATATAGCGCGCCAGAACACCCCAACTTGGTCGGTGATATAATCATAGTAACAGGATAAACCAAATGATAATGGAATAGGAGGAAGAGGAAACCAAATGAGTTGAGATAAAAAGAGGAATGAAATAGAAAGGAGATATGGAAAACGAAATTGGTGTAACGGGGTCGTACTCTCTCAGGTGGCGTAGTCAAGGCGGCAGGTAGAGGCGAAGTCAGCGACACCAGCGACAAGAGCGTCAAGACTCGAGAGAGGAACAGACGGGTCGGTAACGAGGGAGGCAAGGACCCGAGGAACAAGAGGACGAGCGGCACGAAGGTAGTTAGACAGAAGGGGAGGCGAAGGCAGGAGGGGAGGATGAGACGCGTGGGATCGAAGCGACATAGGGTGGGAACGCTGAACAGGAGAGACAGGATGAGCACGAGAGGGACGGCGAGTCCAGACGTGAGACGGAGGCGTCGGGTCAGGAGACAGAGGAGGAGTAACAAGAGGGCAACGAGGTGGGAAACGAGTCGTGGACGAGTCTGGCGGAGGAAACACAGGACCGTGGTTAGGAAGGGGAGGAGGCGGCAGGGGAGGCGCAAGCAAGCAATCAGGGGAGGGAAGGCCGAGCAGGCCAAGGGCGGACACCGACGGCGACTGCTGCTGCTGCTGCTGCTGCTGCTGCTGCTCGACGCCGATACCAGGACTGCCAGCTGCACCACGGCTACCTCCGGAACACTCCACTCCATCACCCCCAGAACGAGCACCCCCAGCGCAAGAACCCTCTCTAGCACCGGTGCCACCCCCGAACCCACCGGGACAAGCCACGACAACACCAGCACCCCCAGAGTCCACGAACGGCTGCTGCTACTGCGACAGCGGCGGCTGCTACGGCGGCAGCGGCGGTTGCTACGGCGGCAGCGGTGGCTGCTGCGGCGGCAGTGACTGCGACGGCGGAGGAGGAGACACCGGGAGAGAGACAGGCGGCGAGAACTGCACCACGGGGCCACTAGAGTCAGCTGACTCCTTGACCGGGACAACCGACGGGAGGGGAGTGACGTGAGACACACCAGACGGAGCAGGACGGGGACGGAGGTGAGCAGGGGCTACCGGGGGAGTCGGAACCAGAAATAGGGGAGGGGAAACTGGGAGACCTCAGTGGGGAAAGCGATGGTTAAAGGAGACAGACTCATCGAAAGTTGCGTTACGAGAGTGAAGGAAGTGGTGAAACGACGGGTGGTAAAAGTGCCAGTCAAACGAGTCAAGGGGGAAACCGAGGAAGACACTGGGGACAGTGCAGGCAGTGAGCTTGTCCGTGCTAGAGGCATGAATGTGAGCGAGGCAGCCCCAGACGTGGAATGCAGATGCGTCACCAGGGAACCCGGTCCAAAGAAGTGCCGGCGAAACCTGCAGCTGCTGGGAGCGCGGCCACAGGTTAGGCTGGTGAGCGGCGTAGCGAACGGCGAACGGCCACAGAAAATGGTGTGCACCGGCATGAATCATGGAGGTACGAGCCATCTCCATGACCAAACCGATGCGTCGCTGAGGGACCCCATTCTGCTACGGGGAGTCCAGTAGGGTGTACGACTGGGTGATGCCCTCCGAACGACAAAACTGTCCAAGCCGACCAGAGGCGAACTCGCCGCCATGGTCGGAGTGGAGACACAGCACAGGGAGACCACGGAGGAGGTGCGCAGCTACGACCCACGGGATAAGAACGTCAGGCACGTCAGCCTTCGGCTCTAGGGGAAACGACGTGGTGTAGTGCGTGTAGTCGTCAACGAGCACGAGGAAGTAGCGCTCGCGACGCGGTCCAGGGACGGTGGCTGGGCCCCAGACGTCCATGTGTAGGGTATGGAGGGGTGCGGTGACAGGGCGAAGCGAGGAGGAGTGAGGAGCACGGCGCAGCCGTCCCTCGATGCAGGGCGTGCACGGCGGCGTAGGCGAGGCAGGGAGGGCAGGAAGCGACGCAGGGAGACCCAGGATGAGACCGTGCTAGGACATGTGACACAGACGCAGGAGTGAGGGATGACCTAGGCGTTGGTGCCACAGAAGCGATGGGTGAGTGAGTGACCGACACGAGCAAGCAGCGGCGACCTGGGTAGACGTAGGGCCCGAGTACGATGCCCTAACCCGGGGGGAAGGAGTGTCCATCGTAAACAGGCCAGACACCGGGTTCCGGGGGAACGTCGCAAGGGGGGAACCTGAGGCGGCCTCGGTACAGACAGCGTACCGCTCGTGACCAGGGAACGTAGTGGTGACGCCGAGATCCTGAAGACAGCCGACACCAAATAAGTTCCTGGAAAACGAAGGGATGTGCAGGCCTATAAGGGAACCCGATGGAACCGCCGGACAGGGAAGGGTAGTGTAGCTGCGAGCAACAACAGGACCAGAAGAGGACCCCTCAAGTGCGACGGCGGCAGGCGCGGCAATCGGCGTGAGTGTGGCGTGGTCGCGGAAGAAGCAGGCAGACGAACCGGAGTCAAGTGTGAAGGACAGAGAAACAGTAGCGGCAGACAAAGGAGCGAGGGGTTGGCTAGGCGCGAGGGACCGGCTAGGCGCGAGGGACCGGCTAGGCGCGAGGGACCGGCTAGGCGCGAGGGACCGGCTAGGCGCGAGGGGTCGGCGGGGCGCTAAGTGGCCGGCACGGCGCGCTGGGGGCCGGCTAGGCACGGGGTGCCGACGGGGCGCGCTAGGGGCCGGCTGGGTACGCGAGGGGCCGGCGCGGGGCGTAAGGGGCGGCGGGCACGCTATGGGCCGACGAGGTGCGCGGGGGGGCCAGCGGGTACTCTAGGGGCTGGCGGGGCGCGGTAGGCTAGGGCGAGGGGCGGAAGTGGGTGGGCGGACCTTACCTACTATGATACCATGTTAGAATACAAGAATGACTAGAAACAAGAAAGTACAGGGGAGATATAGGGTTGAAGTTGTACTCTCTAAGAGCACAAACCTATCTAGTCTATAACTTCTACATACAAATATATGTATAAATTGACATGTACCCTGCGTAACTGGTCCACTTGCAGTTACATGCTTTTGTTCCACCATCATAGTAACCAAAACGCAACATCCCTCCTCCCTCAAAACGCGAACTCACAATGCATTTAGATGAACAGCCCACCCAGTCCAAAGAAGGCCTGTGCCGTACAACTTTCTACAAATACCATGACCCTTGGGCTCTTCTCCCACTATCTTCTACTGGCTCACTCCTTGCCTACTTGCTCCAATCCACTTCTCTCACTTCACCTCCCACCAGTTGTGGGAACATGCCCATGAGCCGACCAGAGGGCTGCTGATAAGCGCACATGAATGCCAACTGCATACATGAATCCCCCACTGAGGCCCAAATTGGTCCCATTTCCAGCTCAGCACGGCCAGGTCACCATCCTCGCTGCTCCACTTTTAATTGCTCCACTTCTCCCGCTCCACCTCCCACTTGTTGGGAAACATCCCCATGAGGCGGCCAGACGACTGCTGGTACGCGTACATGAATCCCCCCATTAATCCCAGAATGCCGGCACAATACATGCTGGGGCCCCTCAGGTTGGCGCTCCCACCTGACAGGGAAAGAGGGGAGAGGGGGGGGGGGGCGAAGGAGAACGAAAAGCAAGCGGAGGGAAATGGGAAATATGAGAGGAGAATGGCGGGTAAGAAACATAGGGATTTTATATGACTGCTGGTATGGGTACGGTACATGAGTCCACCCACGAGTTTTGAGGCGCCTCAAAAATCACCCACGAGCCCATAAATTCCGGCACAAAACATGCTGTGACCCATCAGGTTGGCACTTCCACCTGACGTGAGAGGATGTGGAAAACGCGGAGAGTAGGGACGAGGACAAGGGGAGAAACACGACAAGGGAGTAGGTGAATGAATTCCTATGGCTGCTGGTACACTTACACAAATTACATGAATCCAACCTCTAGCCTCAGCACTCCAGCACTCCAGCATGATTGCGTGGATCTATGACTTCCAGCAACCATGTGAATTCATTAAACGCACCCTTAGCACCGGCTGCCGCTCCATATTTTAGGCGCTTTAGATATTGGCGAGGTCATGCTTTGGGAAGGCGGTTTTGTGATGTATATCGGAGCCAGCCCTGCAGCATGGATGACAGTAGTTCAGCTTTGAGATGTTTTAAACCTAAGGTAGACGATGGTTGGCATAGATGCTGGAAGTTACAGCACCAGAACCAGCAGGCGATGCCTTGTGTGGGGGGTCTTTGGGAAGGCAGTTTTGCTGTATATAAGAACCAGCCTTGCAGCGTGGATGCTGGAAGTTACAGCACCAGCTGCTGCCTCTCTACCCCTTCTCTTCCCCCCTCCACTTTTCACCTGTCCACTCCCCGGGTTCATCCCACCCAGCCTGGAGCCAACCCTGCAGCATGGAAGCTGGAAGTCACAGCATCTACTGCCTAACACTCTCCATCCCTCTCCATCCATCTCCATCCCTCTCCATCCCTCTCCATCCCTCTCCATCCCTCTCCCCCCTTCCCCTTCATCTCTTCCAGTCCATCCCAGGAGTGGCACCCATCCAGCCAGGATCCAACCCCGCAGCATGGATGCTGGAAGTCACAGCAGCTACTGCCTAACAGGCTAACCTCATCCCTCTCTATCCCTCTCTGCCCCTTTCTATCCCTGAATCCCCCCCCTTCCCTTCCAGTCCATCTCAGGAGTGCCACCCATTCAGCCCGGCGCCAACCCCGCAGCATGGATGCTGGAAGTCACAGCACCAGCAGCAGCAGAGAGGCTCGGGGTCGACTTTGCTGAGCTCTTCCAAGAGTCGGACCAGTTCAGGTGAAAACAACAGAGGCTCAGGTGAATTCAGCTGAGTTGATGGTGCCAGCAGCAGCAGCGAATCATGGGGTCGACTTTGCTCAGTTCTCCTGCCAGTCCGACTAGTTCAGATGAGAAACTACAGAGACTCAGGTGAATTCAACAGAAGTCTTGGTGCCATTGGCAGCAGAAGAGCCTGGCCGTCTTTGCTCAGCTCTTCCGCCAGTTGGACCAGTTCAGGTGAGAACAACAGAAGCTCAGGTGAGTTCGGCAGAGGTGATGGTGGCCGCTGCTGCGGAGGTCCACAGAAGCTTCGAGAGAAGAGTCAAGCGTGCCTCAGAAGGGAAGGCTGGCCTCCTCTTCCCACCCAGCACCCACAACGCCCCTCTTGCAATTCGTGGTCACAACGCCCCTCCCAAGCCCCTCCTTTATGTCTCCCCTCTCCTGCTCGCCCCTTGCACAACCATAGAATCTCTCACTCAAGAGTGAAGTGTGGCCCCCGAGGGGGGGCAGAAATCTTCTTCCCCACCCGGCACCCCACAACTACTTCTTCCCAGGTTGTCACTCACATCCACTCCGCCTCTCCGCTCCGCCTCTCCGCTCCCCCTCTCCGCTCCGACTCTCCGCTCCGACTCTCCTCTCCTGCTCACCCCTCTCCAACTCTCCGCTCCGAATCTCCGCTCCGACTCTCCTCTCCTTCTCGCCCCTCTCCAACTCTCCGCTCCGACTCTCCGCTCCGAATCTCCGCTCCATCTCTCCTCTCCGGCTCGCCCCTCTCCGACTCTCCGCTCCGGCTCGCCCCTCTCCGCTCCGGCTCGCCCCTCTCCGCTCCGGCTCGCCCCTCTCCGCTCCGCTCGCCCTCTCCGCTCCGGCTCGCCCCTCTCCGCTCCGGCTCGCCCCTCTCCGCTCCGGCTCGCCCCTCTCCGCTCCGGCTCGCCCCTCTCCGCTCCGGCTCGCCCCTCTCCGCTCCGGCTCGCCCCTCTCCGCTCCGGCTCGCCCCTCTCCGCTCCGGCTCGCCCTCTCTATCCCTACGGGTCCATGAAAGCTCTGATTGAAGAATCCAGCGCGCCCCCTGAAGGGGAGCCAGACCGGTTCTTCCACACGCGGCAAGTTTTGAGGCGCCTCAAAACTGCACGCAGCACCCCACGTCTCTTCTCTCCCAGATCATGACGCGCCTCTTCCCTGTCTCTCGTGCTCACCCCTCCCATCCCTTCCCTTTCACTACAGAACCTTTGAATCGCTGATCCAGGAGTCAAGCGAACCCCCCAAGGGAGAGTCGGACCTCTTCTTCCCCACGCGGCACCTCACGACGCCTCTCTCCCAGTTCGTGACTCACTTATGGAAGCGCCACCGCATGTACTGGCGCATGCCCGACTACAACGGCGTGCAGTTCTTCTTCTCATTCATCATGGGCCTCCTCATCACCTCTTCTCCTGCCCTCCTCTGCCTCCTCTCCTCCCCCCTCTCTCCCCCCCTACAGGTCCATCAAAGCTCTGATTGAAGAGTCGAGTGCCCCTCCGGAAGGGGAGCCGGACCTCTTCTTCCCCACGCGGCACCCCACGACGCCCCTCTCCCAGTTCGTGACGCACCTGTGGAAGCGCCACCGCATGTACTGGCGCATGCCCGACTACAACGGCGCGCGCTTCTTCTTCTCCTTCATCATGGGCCTCCTCATCGGCGCCGTCTTCTTTGGCTTCGGAGACACCCGGGAAACTCCCCAGGAGATAGTCAATGTTATGGGGGCGCTGTACACCGCGGCGCTCTTTCTCGGGTGGAGCAACCTCGGGTCGATTCAACCCATGCTGGCCGTCGAAAGGAGTATTTATTACCGGGAGCAGGGGGCAGGGATGTACGGCGCGATCCCCTACGCGCTCGCGCAAGGGGTGATCGAGCTCCCCTACCTGCTTGTCCAAGCTGTGGTGTACTCGTTAATAACATACTCGATGATTCGGTTCGAGTGGACATATGACAAGTTCCTATGGTACCTGCTGTTCCAGTTTCTCACTCTCCTCTATTTCACATGTTTCGGCATGATGACGAGCTCCATCACCCCGGCTGAAGGGCTCGGAATGCTGCTTTCGGCCTTCATCTACTCCTTCTGGAACCTTCTCTGCGGCTTCCTCCTGCCGGCGCCGGTGAGTGCAGTGCATTTTGTGTTCTTAGAGTGGCAGTGCTGCGTGATTACCGTGGTTTTTGAAGCGACTCAAAAGTGCTGCGTGATTACCATGGCATACCCACGACAGCGTGCGTGTCCATCGTGCTCCTCTTTCTCTGTCTCCCCCTCGTGCCCCAGCATGTTCCTCGTGTCTCCCTCACGCGCACAAATTCCTGTGTACTGGAAATGGGTTTATTGGATCGACCCTGTGGCATGCTCTCTCTCGCTCGTGTTCATTACTCCATCTCATCCCCCCTCACATGTCCCTCTGCCCTCATGTCCCTCCCCCTGGCATGCACACATCAGAAAATCCCCTGTGTACTGGAGTTGGTTCTACCGGATCAACCCTGTGGCATGGTCCCTCTCTCTTTCTCTCCTGTTAATTGCTCCCTCTCTGTCTCCCCTCCCCCTCATGTGTCCCTCCCCCTGGCATGCCGTCATCAGAAAATCCCCGTGTACTGGAAGTGGTTTTATTGGATCAACCCTGTGGCATGGTCTCTCTACGGCCTTGCTGCTTCCCAGGTAAACCCACCTCTCCCCAGTCCCAAGCCCCATCCCTCTTTTTTTGAGTTGACTCAAAAGCAGACGCATTACACACGTTTTTTTAGTCGACTCAAAAGCTGTGGCATGGTCTCTCTACAACCTCGATGCTTCCCAGGTAAACCCACCTCTCCCCAGTCCCAAGCCCCATCCCTGTAACCATATTTTTGTGAACCCCTGGCAACTTCTAGAGTGTGAGAGTGTGTTCACTACTCGGTTTCCTGCGCCTTCACTTCACTTCCCTACTGCCCATCTGTGTATTTCAAAAGCACTGTCTGAGTGAGGGATGCGCCTCCTAGACTGTAAGGAAGTCCGACAAGGAGAAGTACGGAAGCACCTTCGAGACAGTTGAATGCATGTTCACAATCTTTCCTACATGTTCAAAGCTCTCCTCTCTCCTCTTGCCTCTTTCTCATTTCACCTCTGGATGCATACCATGTGTTCCTCGTTTCAACTCCCATTTCATTACAGTTGGGAGATGTAACGACGTTGGTGGTGAGCACACCGGGCATGCCACCGCAGACAGTATCGCAGTTCATTCAGTTGTTTTATGGCTTCTCCCACGATTGGCTCGGCTACGCCACTGCTGCTCTCTTCGGCTTCTCCCTCCTCTTCTTCTGCGTCTTCACCTACGCTCTCCGCATCCTCAACTTCCAGTGGCGATGAGAGAGCAATGCCATATCATCTGATTCTTTTTAAGCCGGTTCAAGAGTCAGCTGATGCACCAGCATCTCACTGCTGCTCTCTTTGACTTCTGCCTCTTCTTCTTCTGTGTCTCCGGAGCCTCAACTTCCAATGGAGATGAGATGGGGTACTTACAACTGCCACTGCGGCACCGGAGGGGATGTGTATAGATGGGATATGTATGGATGGGATGTGTTTGGATGGGATATGTATGGATGGGGTATGTATGGATGGGATGTGTATGGATGGGATATGTATGGATGGGGCATGTATGGATGGGGTATGTATGGATGGGATGTGTATGGATGGGGTATGAATGGATGGGATATGTATGGATGGGGTATGTATGGATGGGATGTGTATGGATGGGGTATGGATGGGATGTGTATGGATGGGATGTGTATTTATGGGTGGGACATGTAAGTATGTATGGATGGGATATGTATTGAAGGGATATGTATGGATGGGAGCTGTATATAAGGAATGTGTACGGATCGATGAGATGGGGGGTGTGGGTAGATGAAACTGATCATGTATGGGATATGTATACCCCTGTTGCCCTGTGGTTTCCCTTATCCTCTTTGTGAGCAAAACTTTCAACTACTATAATCTAATATGTTTCGCTTCTGCACTTCTGCATGAGCACAACGAATGACATGTATGATAGTTTCAAACATGAACGGTACATATGGATGAGATGGGATATGCATGGATACATACATGTGTTCGAATAGGAGAATGACTGGAAACAAGATAGTACAGGGGAGATATAGGATTGGATTTGTACTCTCTAAGAACACAAACCTATCTAGCCTAGTTTACATACAAATATATGAATAAACTGACACACCTCCTAGGCTAGATAAGGGGCAGTGCTGAGCAAGAAACATGTAGCTCAGGGTGGCACCACTAGTCCAACCTCTGAGGCAGAGGTCCGAAGACCAATCAGCAAGAGTACAAACGAGATGAGCAAAACAGGACGGCACTATTAGTCCGGCCACTGGAAGAGAAGCCACAAGGCCAGTCTGGAAGGTATATATAAGGAGTACACAATCAAGGTCCTAGCAAGTGAGAATCTACAGGAACTAGACCAAGCTGCAAAAAGTGCCGCTGATGATATTTAGGCGCAAGCGCTTTAGTAATGATATCAGCTCTGTCGGCACCGGAGGCCAAGTGTACTACGCGGGCATGGCGACGCTGCTGTAGCTCGTGCAGGAGGAAGTACCGCAACTGGATGTGCTTCGCTCTGCCCTCAAGTCGAGGCTCTTGACACAGGAGGATCATGGCCCTGTTGTCAGCGTACAGAACCGGGGCAGAGCTAGGCCGCTCACCTAATTCAGTGAGCAAGAACGTCAGCCAGTGGAGCTCCTGTGCCGCCATGACACCGGCGTAGATCTCAGCCTCACAGATAGACTGGGCAACAGACGACAAGCGAGTGGACAAGGCTAAAGCAGTAGCCCTGGGAAGACCGGAGGGTCTCAACGTCGTCTGCCCAAGAAGCATCTGTGTGCCCAGTAAGGACCACTGGCCTGCGTCCTCCCAGCACTAGCCCCATGTCCGATGTACTTCCTAGAAAATGCAAAACCCTCTTAGCGGCCGACCAGTGCTGTGGTCGGTGTCTGCCTGTGGCCACAAAGCGAGCCAGGATGCTGAGAGGGTATGCAAGATCTGGACGAGTGCAAGTCATCAAGTACATGAGGCAACCCACCAACTCTGCGTAAGGATCATTGGGCTCTACTGACTCCTCAGGAACTGGAGTTGAGAGCATGTGGTCTACTGGCAGAGGTGTGGGCTATGCGGAGGAGAAATGGAGACCGAACCTCGGAAGGACCTGGCGCACCAAGTGTGAATGTGTGAGAGTGATGGTGCACGCTGCTCTGTCCCTGGAGATCTGCACGCCAAGGTAGCGGCGCAGCTCTCCTAGGTCAGCGCAGGTGTGTCTCCTTAGTAGCTCGGCCTTCATGGAGGCCAACGCGTCTCTGTCTGAAGTAGCGAAAACCAGGTCGTCTACGTAGACAATGATGTAGAACGGAGTCTGGCCAGCATGAACGAAGAGCGAGGGGTCTGTAGAGGACGGAAAGAACTGCAAGTCAGCTAGCGTAGCACGCACCGTGTTGTGCCACTCACAGGGCGCCTGTCGCAGGCCGTAGACAGGGCGCCGGAGGAGCCATTGGGTCCCAGAAGGGAAGGTTCCGGTGAAGCCCTGTGGAAGGCGTAGGTAGATTTGCTCGTGTAGGCTGCCCTGAAGAAAAGCAGTGGAGAAGTCGAGAGAGTAGAGCTCGTAGTCACACTATGTGCTACGTGTAGCAGTGCCTGAAGAGTAGTCATCTTTGGGGTCGGAGTGAAGGTCTGAAAGAAGTGCACGCCCTCGCGCTAACTGAGGCCTCTAGCCACGTAGCGCGCCTTGAACACAGGCGGCTCTCTAGGGAGGTGCTTCACCTTGAAGAGCCACCGGCCATCGACTACGTTCACCCCAGATGGGAGGATTGCGTCGACGTAGGTGCCAGTGGATCTCCAAGATGCCATCTCCTGCTCAATGGCAGCTATCCACTTAGATGCCCAAAGTCCCGAGGTCGCCTCACTGTAAGTGCAAGGGGTCGGGATGTCAAAGGCGTCTGGGTCACCCTCAGAGACTAGCAGCATGGAACAGAGATGAGGAGCAGCCTCAGACTGGAAACAAGCTTGTACTGCCTGTCCTCTATGACATCATTGCCAAGGGCAGGAGCACTCCTGACGGACGGAGGACAGACAGGGTCAGAGACTAGACCGGGGGTGTCACAGATCGAATGTGTCGAGGAAAAGTTGCACTATCGATTGATACAAGGTGATTTTATACTTCTAAAGTACATTAGGTAACCAGGTTTATCCTATCCAAAGCGAATAGACCCTTCTACAAATAGAATCACCTTGCGTATAGCCACGCGAGGCTATTGGCTTTAAGGGATTACGACAGGATTACGCTAGATATAGCGCGCCAGAACACCCCAACTTGGTCGGTGATATAATCATAGTAACAGGATAAACCAAATGATAATGGAATAGGAGGAAGAGGAAACCAAATGAGTTGAGATAAAAAGAGGAATGAAATAGAAAGGAGATATGGAAAACGAAATTGGTGTAACGGGGTCGTACTCTCTCAGGTGGCGTAGTCAAGGCGGCAGGTAGAGGCGAAGTCAGCGACACCAGCGACAAGAGCGTCAAGACTCGAGAGAGGAACAGACGGGTCGGTAACGAGGGAGGCAAGGACCCGAGGAACAAGAGGACGAGCGGCACGAAGGTAGTTAGACAGAAGGGGAGGCGAAGGCAGGAGGGGAGGATGAGACGCGTGGGATCGAAGCGACATAGGGTGGGAACGCTGAACAGGAGAGACAGGATGAGCACGAGAGGGACGGCGAGTCCAGACGTGAGACGGAGGCGTCGGGTCAGGAGACAGAGGAGGAGTAACAAGAGGGCAACGAGGTGGGAAACGAGTCGTGGACGAGTCTGGCGGAGGAAACACAGGACCGTGGTTAGGAAGGGGAGGAGGCGGCAGGGGAGGCGCAAGCAAGCAATCAGGGGAGGGAAGGCCGAGCAGGCCAAGGGCGGACACCGACGGCGACTGCTGCTGCTGCTGCTGCTGCTGCTGCTGCTCGACGCCGATACCAGGACTGCCAGCTGCACCACGGCTACCTCCGGAACACTCCACTCCATCACCCCCAGAACGAGCACCCCCAGCGCAAGAACCCTCTCTAGCACCGGTGCCACCCCGAACCCACCGGGACAAGCCACGACAACACCAGCACCCCAGAGTCCACGAACGGCTGCTGCTACTGCGACAGCGGCGGCTGCTACGGCGGCAGCGGCGGTTGCTACGGCGGCAGCGGTGGCTGCTGCGGCGGCAGTGACTGCGACGGCGGAGGAGGAGACACCGGGAGAGAGACAGGCGGCGAGAACTGCACCACGGGGCCACTAGAGTCAGCTGACTCCTTGACCGGGACAACCGACGGGAGGGGAGTGACGTGAGACACACCAGACGGAGCAGGACGGGGACGGAGGTGAGCAGGGGCTACCGGGGGAGTCGGAACCAGAAATAGGGGAGGGGAAACTGGGAGACCTCAGTGGGGAAAGCGATGGTTAAAGGAGACAGACTCATCGAAAGTTGCGTTACGAGAGTGAAGGAAGTGGTGAAACGACGGGTGGTAAAAGTGCCAGTCAAACGAGTCAAGGGGGAAACCGAGGAAGACACTGGGGACAGTGCAGGCAGTGAGCTTGTCCGTGCTAGAGGCATGAATGTGAGCGAGGCAGCCCCAGACGTGGAATGCAGATGCGTCACCAGGGAACCCGGTCCAAAGAAGTGCCGGCGAAACCTGCAGCTGCTGGGAGCGCGGCCACAGGTTAGGCTGGTGAGCGGCGTAGCGAACGGCGAACGGCCACAGAAAATGGTGTGCACCGGCATGAATCATGGAGGTACGAGCCATCTCCATGACCAAACCGATGCGTCGCTGAGGGACCCCATTCTGCTACGGGGAGTCCAGTAGGGTGTACGACTGGGTGATGCCCTCCGAACGACAAAACTGTCCAAGCCGACCAGAGGCGAACTCGCCGCCATGGTCGGAGTGGAGACACAGCACAGGGAGACCACGGAGGAGGTGCGCAGCTACGACCCACGGGATAAGAACGTCAGGCACGTCAGCCTTCGGCTCTAGGGGAAACGACGTGGTGTAGTGCGTGTAGTCGTCAACGAGCACGAGGAAGTAGCGCTCGCGACGCGGTCCAGGGACGGTGGCTGGGCCCCAGACGTCCATGTGTAGGGTATGGAGGGGTGCGGTGACAGGGCGAAGCGAGGAGGAGTGAGGAGCACGGCGCAGCCGTCCCTCGATGCAGGGCGTGCACGGCGGCGTAGGCGAGGCAGGGAGGGCAGGAAGCGACGCAGGGAGACCCAGGATGAGACCGTGCTAGGACATGTGACACAGACGCAGGAGTGAGGGATGACCTAGGCGTTGGTGCCACAGAAGCGATGGGTGAGTGAGTGACCGACACGAGCAAGCAGCGGCGACCTGGGTAGACGTAGGGCCCGAGTACGATGCCCTAACCCGGGGGGAAGGAGTGTCCATCGTAAACAGGCCAGACACCGGGTTCCGGGGGAACGTCGCAAGGGGGGAACCTGAGGCGGCCTCGGTACAGACAGCGTACCGCTCGTGACCAGGGAACGTAGTGGTGACGCCGAGATCCTGAAGACAGCCGACACCAAATAAGTTCCTGGAAAACGAAGGGATGTGCAGGCCTATAAGGGAACCCGATGGAACCGCCGGACAGGGAAGGGTAGTGTAGCTGCGAGCAACAACAGGACCAGAAGAGGACCCCTCAAGTGCGACGGCGGCAGGCGCGGCAATCGGCGTGAGTGTGGCGTGGTCGCGGAAGAAGCAGGCAGACGAACCGGAGTCAAGTGTGAAGGACAGAGAAACAGTAGCGGCAGACAAAGGAGCGAGGGGTTGGCTAGGCGCGAGGGACCGGCTAGGCGCGAGGGACCGGCTAGGCGCGAGGGACCGGCTAGGCGCGAGGGACCGGCTAGGCGCGAGGGGTCGGCGGGGCGCTAAGTGGCCGGCACGGCGCGCTGGGGGCCGGCTAGGCACGGGGTGCCGACGGGGCGCGCTAGGGGCCGGCTGGGTACGCGAGGGGCCGGCGCGGGGCGTAAGGGGCGGCGGGCACGCTATGGGCCGACGAGGTGCGCGGGGGGCCAGCGGGTACTCTAGGGGCTGGCGGGCGCGGTAGGCTAGGGCGAGGGCGGAAGTGGGTGGGCGGACCTTACCTACTATGATACCATGTTAGAATACAAGAATGACTAGAAACAAGAAAGTACAGGGGAGATATAGGGTTGAAGTTGTACTCTCTAAGAGCACAAACCTATCTAGTCTATAACTTCTACATACAAATATATGTATAAATTGACATGTACCCTGCGTAACTGGTCCACTTGCAGTTACATGCTTTTGTTCCACCATCATAGTAACCAAAACGCAACATCCCTCCTCCCTCAAAACGCGAACTCACAATGCATTTAGATGAACAGCCACCCAGTCCAAAGAAGGCCTGTGCCGTACAACTTTCTACAAATACCATGACCCTTGGGCTCTTCTCCCACTATCTTCTACTGGCTCACTCCTTGCCTACTTGCTCCAATCCACTTCTCTCACTTCACCTCCCACCAGTTGTGGAACATGCCCATGAGCCGACCAGAGGGCTGCTGATAAGCGCACATGAATGCCAACTGCATACATGAATCCCCCACTGAGGCCCAAATTGGTCCCATTTCCAGCTCAGCACGGCCAGGTCACCATCCTCGCTGCTCCACTTTAATTGCTCCACTTCTCCGCTCCACCTCCCACTTGTTGGGAAACATCCCCATGAGGCGGCCAGACGACTGCTGGTACGCGTACATGAATCCCCCATTAATCCCAGAATGCCGGCACAATACATGCTGGGGCCCCTCAGGTTGGCGCTCCCACCTGACAGGGAAAGAGGGGAGAGGGGGGGGGGGCGAAGGAGAACGAAAAGCAAGCGGAGGGAAATGGGAAATATGAGAGGAGAATGGCGGGTAAGAAACATAGGGATTTTATATGACTGCTGGTATGGGTACGGTACATGAGTCCACCCACGAGTTTTGAGGCGCCTCAAAAATCACCCACGAGCCCATAAATTCCGGCACAAAACATGCTGTGACCCATCAGGTTGGCACTTCCACCTGACGTGAGAGGATGTGGAAACGCGGAGAGTAGGGACGAGGACAAGGGGAGAAACACGACAAGGGAGTAGGTGAATGAATTCCTATGGCTGCTGGTACACTTACACAAATTACATGAATCCAACCTCTAGCCTCAGCACTCCAGCACTCCAGCATGATTGCGTGGATCTATGACTTCCAGCAACCATGTGAATTCATTAAACGCACCCTTAGCACCGGCTGCCGCTCCATATTTTAGGCGCTTTAGATATTGGCGAGGTCATGCTTTGGGAAGGCGGTTTTGTGATGTATATCGGAGCCAGCCCTGCAGCATGGATGACAGTAGTTCAGCTTTGAGATGTTTTAAACCTAAGGTAGACGATGGTTGGCATAGATGCTGGAAGTTACAGCACCAGAACCAGCAGGCGATGCCTTGTGTGGGGGGTCTTTGGGAAGGCAGTTTTGCTGTATATAAGAACCAGCCTTGCAGCGTGGATGCTGGAAGTTACAGCACCAGCTGCTGCCTCTCTACCCCTTCTCTTCCCCCCTCCACTTTTCACCTGTCCACTCCCCGGGTTCATCCCACCCAGCCTGGAGCCAACCCTGCAGCATGGAAGCTGGAAGTCACAGCATCTACTGCCTAACACTCTCCATCCCTCTCCATCCATCTCCATCCCTCTCCATCCCTCTCCATCCCTCTCCATCCCTCTCCCCCCTTCCCCTTCATCTCTTCCAGTCCATCCCAGGAGTGGCACCCATCCAGCCAGGATCCAACCCCGCAGCATGGATGCTGGAAGTCACAGCAGCTACTGCCTAACAGGCTAACCTCATCCCTCTCTATCCCTCTCTGCCCCTTTCTATCCCTGAATCCCCCCCCTTCCCTTCCAGTCCATCTCAGGAGTGCCACCCATTCAGCCCGGCGCCAACCCCGCAGCATGGATGCTGGAAGTCACAGCACCAGCAGCAGCAGAGAGGCTCGGGGTCGACTTTGCTGAGCTCTTCCAAGAGTCGGACCAGTTCAGGTGAAAACAACAGAGGCTCAGGTGAATTCAGCTGAGTTGATGGTGCCAGCAGCAGCAGCGAATCATGGGGTCGACTTTGCTCAGTTCTCCTGCCAGTCCGACTAGTTCAGATGAGAAACTACAGAGACTCAGGTGAATTCAACAGAAGTCTTGGTGCCATTGGCAGCAGAAGAGCCTGGCCGTCTTTGCTCAGCTCTTCCGCCAGTTGGACCAGTTCAGGTGAGAACAACAGAAGCTCAGGTGAGTTCGGCAGAGGTGATGGTGGCCGCTGCTGCGGAGGTCCACAGAAGCTTCGAGAGAAGAGTCAAGCGTGCCTCAGAAGGGAAGGCTGGCCTCCTCTTCCCACCCAGCACCCACAACGCCCCTCTTGCAATTCGTGGTCACAACGCCCCTCCCAAGCCCCTCCTTTATGTCTCCCCTCTCCTGCTCGCCCCTTGCACAACCATAGAATCTCTCACTCAAGAGTGAAGTGTGGCCCCCGAGGGGGGGGCAGAAATCTTCTTCCCCACCCGGCACCCCACAACTACTTCTTCCCAGGTTGTCACTCACATCCACTCCGCCTCTCCGCTCCGCCTCTCCGCTCCCCCTCTCCGCTCCGACTCTCCGCTCCGACTCTCCTCTCCTGCTCACCCCTCTCCAACTCTCCGCTCCGAATCTCCGCTCCGACTCTCCTCTCCTTCTCGCCCCTCTCCAACTCTCCGCTCCGACTCTCCGCTCCGAATCTCCGCTCCATCTCTCCTCTCCGGCTCGCCCCTCTCCGACTCTCCGCTCCGGCTCGCCCCTCTCCGCTCCGGCTCGCCCCTCTCCGCTCCGGCTCGCCCCTCTCCGCTCCGGCTCGCCCCTCTCCGCTCCGGCTCGCCCCTCTCCGCTCCGGCTCGCCCCTCTCCGCTCCGGCTCGCCCCTCTCCGCTCCGGCTCGCCCCTCTCCGCTCCGGCTCGCCCCTCTCCGCTCCGGCTCGCCCCTCTCCGCTCCGGCTCGCCCTCTCTATCCCTACGGGTCCATGAAAGCTCTGATTGAAGAATCCAGCGCGCCCCCTGAAGGGGAGCCAGACCGGTTCTTCCACACGCGGCAAGTTTTGAGGCGCCTCAAAACTGCACGCAGCACCCCACGTCTCTTCTCTCCCAGATCATGACGCGCCTCTTCCCTGTCTCTCGTGCTCACCCCTCCCATCCCTTCCCTTTCACTACAGAACCTTTGAATCGCTGATCCAGGAGTCAAGCGAACCCCCCAAGGGAGAGTCGGACCTCTTCTTCCCCACGCGGCACCTCACGACGCCTCTCTCCCAGTTCGTGACTCACTTATGGAAGCGCCACCGCATGTACTGGCGCATGCCCGACTACAACGGCGTGCAGTTCTTCTTCTCATTCATCATGGGCCTCCTCATCACCTCTTCTCCTGCCCTCCTCTGCCTCCTCTCCTCCCCCCTCTCTCCCCCCCTACAGGTCCATCAAAGCTCTGATTGAAGAGTCGAGTGCCCCTCCGGAAGGGGAGCCGGACCTCTTCTTCCCCACGCGGCACCCCACGACGCCCCTCTCCCAGTTCGTGACGCACCTGTGGAAGCGCCACCGCATGTACTGGCGCATGCCCGACTACAACGGCGCGCGCTTCTTCTTCTCCTTCATCATGGGCCTCCTCATCGGCGCCGTCTTCTTTGGCTTCGGAGACACCCGGGAAACTCCCCAGGAGATAGTCAATGTTATGGGGGCGCTGTACACCGCGGCGCTCTTTCTCGGGTGGAGCAACCTCGGGTCGATTCAACCCATGCTGGCCGTCGAAAGGAGTATTTATTACCGGGAGCAGGGGGCAGGGATGTACGGCGCGATCCCCTACGCGCTCGCGCAAGGGGTGATCGAGCTCCCCTACCTGCTTGTCCAAGCTGTGGTGTACTCGTTAATAACATACTCGATGATTCGGTTCGAGTGGACATATGACAAGTTCCTATGGTACCTGCTGTTCCAGTTTCTCACTCTCCTCTATTTCACATGTTTCGGCATGATGACGAGCTCCATCACCCCGGCTGAAGGGCTCGGAATGCTGCTTTCGGCCTTCATCTACTCCTTCTGGAACCTTCTCTGCGGCTTCCTCCTGCCGGCGCCGGTGAGTGCAGTGCATTTTGTGTTCTTAGAGTGGCAGTGCTGCGTGATTACCGTGGTTTTTGAAGCGACTCAAAAGTGCTGCGTGATTACCATGGCATACCCACGACAGCGTGCGTGTCCATCGTGCTCCTCTTTCTCTGTCTCCCCCTCGTGCCCCAGCATGTTCCTCGTGTCTCCCTCACGCGCACAAATTCCTGTGTACTGGAAATGGGTTTATTGGATCGACCCTGTGGCATGCTCTCTCTCGCTCGTGTTCATTACTCCATCTCATCCCCCCTCACATGTCCCTCTGCCCTCATGTCCCTCCCCCTGGCATGCACACATCAGAAAATCCCCTGTGTACTGGAGTTGGTTCTACCGGATCAACCCTGTGGCATGGTCCCTCTCTCTTTCTCTCCTGTTAATTGCTCCCTCTCTGTCTCCCCTCCCCCTCATGTGTCCCTCCCCCTGGCATGCCGTCATCAGAAAATCCCCGTGTACTGGAAGTGGTTTTATTGGATCAACCCTGTGGCATGGTCTCTCTACGGCCTTGCTGCTTCCCAGGTAAACCCACCTCTCCCCAGTCCCAAGCCCCATCCCTCTTTTTTTGAGTTGACTCAAAAGCAGACGCATTACACACGTTTTTTTAGTCGACTCAAAAGCTGTGGCATGGTCTCTCTACAACCTCGATGCTTCCCAGGTAAACCCACCTCTCCCCAGTCCCAAGCCCCATCCCTGTAACCATATTTTTGTGAACCCCTGGCAACTTCTAGAGTGTGAGAGTGTGTTCACTACTCGGTTTCCTGCGCCTTCACTTCACTTCCCTACTGCCCATCTGTGTATTTCAAAAGCACTGTCTGAGTGAGGGATGCGCCTCCTAGACTGTAAGGAAGTCCGACAAGGAGAAGTACGGAAGCACCTTCGAGACAGTTGAATGCATGTTCACAATCTTTCCTACATGTTCAAAGCTCTCCTCTCTCCTCTTGCCTCTTTCTCATTTCACCTCTGGATGCATACCATGTGTTCCTCGTTTCAACTCCCATTTCATTACAGTTGGGAGATGTAACGACGTTGGTGGTGAGCACACCGGGCATGCCACCGCAGACAGTATCGCAGTTCATTCAGTTGTTTTATGGCTTCTCCCACGATTGGCTCGGCTACGCCACTGCTGCTCTCTTCGGCTTCTCCCTCCTCTTCTTCTGCGTCTTCACCTACGCTCTCCGCATCCTCAACTTCCAGTGGCGATGAGAGAGCAATGCCATATCATCTGATTCTTTTTAAGCCGGTTCAAGAGTCAGCTGATGCACCAGCATCTCACTGCTGCTCTCTTTGACTTCTGCCTCTTCTTCTTCTGTGTCTCCGGAGCCTCAACTTCCAATGGAGATGAGATGGGGTACTTACAACTGCCACTGCGGCACCGGAGGGGATGTGTATAGATGGGATATGTATGGATGGGATGTGTTTGGATGGGATATGTATGGATGGGGTATGTATGGATGGGATGTGTATGGATGGGATATGTATGGATGGGGCATGTATGGATGGGGTATGTATGGATGGGATGTGTATGGATGGGGTATGAATGGATGGGATATGTATGGATGGGGTATGTATGGATGGGATGTGTATGGATGGGGTATGGATGGGATGTGTATGGATGGGATGTGTATTTATGGGTGGGACATGTAAGTATGTATGGATGGGATATGTATTGAAGGGATATGTATGGATGGGAGCTGTATATAAGGAATGTGTACGGATCGATGAGATGGGGGGTGTGGGTAGATGAAACTGATCATGTATGGGATATGTATACCCCTGTTGCCCTGTGGTTTCCCTTATCCTCTTTGTGAGCAAAACTTTCAACTACTATAATCTAATATGTTTCGCTTCTGCACTTCTGCATGAGCACAACGAATGACATGTATGATAGTTTCAAACATGAACGGTACATATGGATGAGATGGGATATGCATGGATACATACATGTGTTCGAATAGGAGAATGACTGGAAACAAGATAGTACAGGGGAGATATAGGATTGGATTTGTACTCTCTAAGAACACAAACCTATCTAGCCTAGTTTACATACAAATATATGAATAAACTGACACACCTCCTAGGCTAGATAAGGGGCAGTGCTGAGCAAGAAACATGTAGCTCAGGGTGGCACCACTAGTCCAACCTCTGAGGCAGAGGTCCGAAGACCAATCAGCAAGAGTACAAACGAGATGAGCAAAACAGGACGGCACTATTAGTCCGGCCACTGGAAGAGAAGCCACAAGGCCAGTCTGGAAGGTATATATAAGGAGTACACAATCAAGGTCCTAGCAAGTGAGAATCTACAGGAACTAGACCAAGCTGCAAAAAGTGCCGCTGATGATATTTAGGCGCAAGCGCTTTAGTAATGATATCAGCTCTGTCGGCACCGGAGGCCAAGTGTACTACGCGGGCATGGCGACGCTGCTGTAGCTCGTGCAGGAGGAAGTACCGCAACTGGATGTGCTTCGCTCTGCCCTCAAGTCGAGGCTCTTGACACAGGAGGATCATGGCCCTGTTGTCAGCGTACAGAACCGGGGCAGAGCTAGGCCGCTCACCTAATTCAGTGAGCAAGAACGTCAGCCAGTGGAGCTCCTGTGCCGCCATGACACCGGCGTAGATCTCAGCCTCACAGATAGACTGGGCAACAGACGACAAGCGAGTGGACAAGGCTAAAGCAGTAGCCCTGGGAAGACCGGAGGGTCTCAACGTCGTCTGCCCAAGAAGCATCTGTGTGCCCAGTAAGGACCACTGGCCTGCGTCCTCCCAGCACTAGCCCCATGTCCGATGTACTTCCTAGAAAATGCAAAACCCTCTTAGCGGCCGACCAGTGCTGTGGTCGGTGTCTGCCTGTGGCCACAAAGCGAGCCAGGATGCTGAGAGGGTATGCAAGATCTGGACGAGTGCAAGTCATCAAGTACATGAGGCAACCCACCAACTCTGCGTAAGGATCATTGGGCTCTACTGACTCCTCAGGAACTGGAGTTGAGAGCATGTGGTCTACTGGCAGAGGTGTGGGCTATGCGGAGGAGAAATGGAGACCGAACCTCGGAAGGACCTGGCGCACCAAGTGTGAATGTGTGAGAGTGATGGTGCACGCTGCTCTGTCCCTGGAGATCTGCACGCCAAGGTAGCGGCGCAGCTCTCCTAGGTCAGCGCAGGTGTGTCTCCTTAGCAGCTCGGCCTTCATGGAGGCCAACGCGTCTCTGTCTGAAGTAGCGAAAACCAGGTCGTCTACGTAGACAATGATGTAGAACGGAGTCTGGCCAGCATGAACGAAGAGCGAGGGGTCTGTAGAGGACGGAAAGAACTGCAAGTCAGCTAGCGTAGCACGCACCGTGTTGTGCCACTCACAGGGCGCCTGTCGCAGGCCGTAGACAGGGCGCCGGAGGAGCCATTGGGTCCCAGAAGGGAAGGTTCCGGTGAAGCCCTGTGGAAGGCGTAGGGAGATTTGCTCGTGTAGGCTGCCCTGAAGAAAAGCAGTGGAGAAGTCGAGAGAGTAGAGCTCGTAGTCACACTATGCTGCTACGTGTAGCAGTGCCTGAAGAGTAGTCATCTTTGGGGTCAGAGTGAAGGTCTGAAAGAAGTCCACGCCCTCGCGCTAACTGAGGCCTCTAGCCACGTAGCGCGCCTTGAACACAGGCGGCTCTCTAGGGAGGTGCTTCACCTTGAAGAGCCACCGGCCATCGACTACGTTCACCCCAGATGGGAGGATTGCGTCGACGTAGGTGCCAGTGGATCTCCAAGATGCCATCTCCTGCTCAATGGCAGCTATCCACTTAGATGCCCAAAGTCCCGAGGTCGCCTCACTGTAAGTGCAAGGGGTCGGGATGTCAAAGGCGTCTGGGTCACCCTCAGAGACTAGCAGCATGGAACAGAGATGAGGAGCAGCCTCAGACTGGAAAGCAAGCTTGTACTGCATGTCCTCTATGACATCATTGCCAAGGGCAGGAGCACTCCTGACGGACGGAGGACAGACAGGGTCAGAGACTAGACCGGGGGTGTCACAAGATCGAATGTGTCGAGGAAAAGTTGCACTATCGATTGATACAAGGTGATTTTATACTTCTAAAGTACATTAGGTAACCAGGTTTATCCTATCCAAAGCGAATAGACCCTTCTACAAATAGAATCACCTTGCGTATAGCCACGCGAGGCTATTGGCTTTAAGGGATTACGACAGGATTACGCTAGATATAGCGCGCCAGAACACCCCAACTTGGTCGGTGATATAATCATAGTAACAGGATAAACCAAATGATAATGGAATAGGAGGAAGAGGAAACCAAATGAGTTGAGATAAAAAGAGGAATGAAATAGAAAGGAGATATGGAAAACGAAATTGGTGTAACGGGGTCGTACTCTCTCAGGTGGCGTAGTCAAGGCGGCAGGTAGAGGCGAAGTCAGCGACACCAGCGACAAGAGCGTCAAGACTCGAGAGAGGAACAGACGGGTCGGTAACGAGGGAGGCAAGGACCCGAGGAACAAGAGGACGAGCGGCACGAAGGTAGTTAGACAGAAGGGGAGGCGAAGGCAGGAGGGGAGGATGAGACGCGTGGGATCGAAGCGACATAGGGTGGGAACGCTGAACAGGAGAGACAGGATGAGCACGAGAGGGACGGCGAGTCCAGACGTGAGACGGAGGCGTCGGGTCAGGAGACAGAGGAGGAGTAACAAGAGGGCAACGAGGTGGGAAACGAGTCGTGGACGAGTCTGGCGGAGGAAACACAGGACCGTGGTTAGGAAGGGGAGGAGGCGGCAGGGGAGGCGCAAGCAAGCAATCAGGGGAGGGAAGGCCGAGCAGGCCAAGGGCGGACACCGACGGCGACTGCTGCTGCTGCTGCTGCTGCTGCTGCTGCTGCTCGACGCCGATACCAGGACTGCCAGCTGCACCACGGCTACCTCCGGAACACTCCACTCCATCACCCCCAGAACGAGCACCCCCAGCGCAAGAACCCTCTCTAGCACCGGTGCCACCCCCGAACCCACCGGGACAAGCCACGACAACACCAGCACCCCCAGAGTCCACGAACGGCTGCTGCTACTGCGACAGCGGCGGCTGCTACGGCGGCAGCGGCGGTTGCTACGGCGGCAGCGGTGGCTGCTGCGGCGGCAGTGACTGCGACGGCGGAGGAGGAGACACCGGGAGAGAGACAGGCGGCGAGAACTGCACCACGGGGCCACTAGAGTCAGCTGACTCCTTGACCGGGACAACCGACGGGAGGGGAGTGACGTGAGACACACCAGACGGAGCAGGACGGGGACGGAGGTGAGCAGGGGCTACCGGGGGAGTCGGAACCAGAAATAGGGGAGGGGAAACTGGGAGACCTCAGTGGGGAAAGCGATGGTTAAAGGAGACAGACTCATCGAAAGTTGCGTTACGAGAGTGAAGGAAGTGGTGAAACGACGGGTGGTAAAAGTGCCAGTCAAACGAGTCAAGGGGGAAACCGAGGAAGACACTGGGGACAGTGCAGGCAGTGAGCTTGTCCGTGCTAGAGGCATGAATGTGAGCGAGGCAGCCCCAGACGTGGAATGCAGATGCGTCACCAGGGAACCCGGTCCAAAGAAGTGCCGGCGAAACCTGCAGCTGCTGGGAGCGCGGCCACAGGTTAGGCTGGTGAGCGGCGTAGCGAACGGCGAACGGCCACAGAAAATGGTGTGCACCGGCATGAATCATGGAGGTACGAGCCATCTCCATGACCAAACCGATGCGTCGCTGAGGGACCCCATTCTGCTACGGGGAGTCCAGTAGGGTGTACGACTGGGTGATGCCCTCCGAACGACAAAACTGTCCAAGCCGACCAGAGGCGAACTCGCCGCCATGGTCGGAGTGGAGACACAGCACAGGGAGACCACGGAGGAGGTGCGCAGCTACGACCCACGGGATAAGAACGTCAGGCACGTCAGCCTTCGGCTCTAGGGGAAACGACGTGGTGTAGTGCGTGTAGTCGTCAACGAGCACGAGGAAGTAGCGCTCGCGACGCGGTCCAGGGACGGTGGCTGGGCCCCAGACGTCCATGTGTAGGGTATGGAGGGGTGCGGTGACAGGGCGAAGCGAGGAGGAGTGAGGAGCACGGCGCAGCCGTCCCTCGATGCAGGGCGTGCACGGCGGCGTAGGCGAGGCAGGGAGGGCAGGAAGCGACGCAGGGAGACCCAGGATGAGACCGTGCTAGGACATGTGACACAGACGCAGGAGTGAGGGATGACCTAGGCGTTGGTGCCACAGAAGCGATGGGTGAGTGAGTGACCGACACGAGCAAGCAGCGGCGACCTGGGTAGACGTAGGGCCCGAGTACGATGCCCTAACCCGGGGGGAAGGAGTGTCCATCGTAAACAGGCCAGACACCGGGTTCCGGGGGAACGTCGCAAGGGGGGAACCTGAGGCGGCCTCGGTACAGACAGCGTACCGCTCGTGACCAGGGAACGTAGTGGTGACGCCGAGATCCTGAAGACAGCCGACACCAAATAAGTTCCTGGAAAACGAAGGGATGTGCAGGCCTATAAGGGAACCCGATGGAACCGCCGGACAGGGAAGGGTAGTGTAGCTGCGAGCAACAACAGGACCAGAAGAGGACCCCTCAAGTGCGACGGCGGCAGGCGCGGCAATCGGCGTGAGTGTGGCGTGGTCGCGGAAGAAGCAGGCAGACGAACCGGAGTCAAGTGTGAAGGACAGAGAAACAGTAGCGGCAGACAAAGGAGCGAGGGGTTGGCTAGGCGCGAGGGACCGGCTAGGCGCGAGGGACCGGCTAGGCGCGAGGGACCGGCTAGGCGCGAGGGACCGGCTAGGCGCGAGGGGTCGGCGGGGCGCTAAGTGGCCGGCACGGCGCGCTGGGGGCCGGCTAGGCACGGGGTGCCGACGGGGCGCGCTAGGGGCCGGCTGGGTACGCGAGGGGCCGGCGCGGGGCGTAAGGGGCGGCGGGCACGCTATGGGCCGACGAGGTGCGCGGGGGGCCAGCGGGTACTCTAGGGGCTGGCGGGGCGCGGTAGGCTAGGGCGAGGGGCGGAAGTGGGTGGGCGGACCTTACCTACTATGATACCATGTTAGAATACAAGAATGACTAGAAACAAGAAAGTACAGGGGAGATATAGGGTTGAAGTTGTACTCTCTAAGAGCACAAACCTATCTAGTCTATAACTTCTACATACAAATATATGTATAAATTGACATGTACCCTGCGTAACTGGTCCACTTGCAGTTACATGCTTTTGTTCCACCATCATAGTAACCAAAACGCAACATCCCTCCTCCCTCAAAACGCGAACTCACAATGCATTTAGATGAACAGCCCACCCAGTCCAAAGAAGGCCTGTGCCGTACAACTTTCTACAAATACCATGACCCTTGGGCTCTTCTCCCACTATCTTCTACTGGCTCACTCCTTGCCTACTTGCTCCAATCCACTTCTCTCACTTCACCTCCCACCAGTTGTGGGAACATGCCCATGAGCCGACCAGAGGGCTGCTGATAAGCGCACATGAATGCCAACTGCATACATGAATCCCCCACTGAGGCCCAAATTGGTCCCATTTCCAGCTCAGCACGGCCAGGTCACCATCCTCGCTGCTCCACTTTTAATTGCTCCACTTCTCCCGCTCCACCTCCCACTTGTTGGGAAACATCCCCATGAGGCGGCCAGACGACTGCTGGTACGCGTACATAAAACCCCCCATTAATCCCAGAATGCCGGCACAATACATGCTGGGGCCCCTCAGGTTGGCGCTCCCACCTGACAGGGAGAGAGGGGAGAGGGGGGGGGGGGCGAAGGAGAACGAAAAGCAAGCGGAGGGAAATGGGAAATATGAGAGGAGGATGGCGGGTAAGGAACATAGGGATTTTATATGACTGCTGGTATGGGTACGGTACATGAGTCCACCCACGAGTTTTTAGGCGCCTCAAAAATCACCCACGAGCCCATAAATTCTGGCACAAAACATGCTGTGACCCATCAGGTTGGCACTTCCACCTGACGTGAGAGGATGTGGAAAACGCGGAGAGTAGGGACGAGGACAAGGGGGAAAACACGACAAGGGAGTAGGTGAATGAATTCCTATGGCTGCTGGTACACTTACACAAATTATATTAATCCAACCTCTAGCCTCAGCACTCCAGCACTCCAGCATGATTGCGTAGATCTATGACTTCCAGCAGCCATGTGAAGTCATTAAACGCACCCTTGAGACACCGGACCCAGCCTCAGACCGTAACTGTCTGGGGCAAGACAGTCCAAGGGGAGAGTGATGCACCCGCGAGGTCGAACAGCAGCGACATGGCGGTGAAAATTCGCGACGCTCTTGTAGTCGGTGAGCGTGATAGACGCACCTGCCAGCCATGCCACCTCGACCAGGCCTGCGACGTGCTTGCGAGATTTGAGAATTCTCAAAAAGCCCCCAACAGATTGGCCCTTGAGTCGGCGCAAAGGTCACCTCGGCAGCGACGCTCTTGTGGTGCTGAGCGTGATGTACGTACACTACAAGAGCGTCACGCTCGTCCAGTCAGGCCGCCTCGAGCAGGCCTGTCTGTGACGAACCCGCAAGATACCCGAACGGCAGCGAGACACGAATGCGAGGTAGCCAAACGGAAGAGCGACGTACCCGCAAGGTAGCCGAACGGCAGCGACACGGCGGTGAAGGTGGCGACATTCTTGTAGTCGCTGAACGTGAAGTTACCGACCGTGCGACCGAACGACGGCGTGCGATCAATCACGGGGAACTTGGGCTCGTCCAGAAAGATCCCCATCGCGTCGCCTACAGTCGTTGCGTCGCCTTGGTGTCGTTGAGTGGAAGATACGAAAGGTACTTTTGAAGAGCCTAAAAAATATATCTACGACGAAAGTTTAGCTTGGAGAAGGGACACGGTGAGTGGCGGCAGACGCGGGAGGGGGGTTTGCCTTGGTGGAGTGAATTCCTTGGTGATGGTTTGAAAGACGAACGACGGAAAGACGGTAGGAGACGGATGGACAGAATCTCGGATCGCGAGCGGCGAAATGCGCCGAACGAGGAGGAGAAGCTCGGAACTTCCGAGAGGAAAGCGTCGCTGATTGGTCAGGGAGCGTCGTTTTCACTCCTAGTCTGCAGACTAAGTGGCTCACGAGGAGTAAGTTACTCCCAGCAACTCAATCCCCTTGGGACTAGGGTTATAGTAACGAGAGGACTTGACTCGTTTCCCTACGTTATAGCGAATCAGTTCCCCGAACCATCACAAATTTCATCTAGAAATCATGCAGACAATAGCACTTATCCTCCACACATACTAAACATAAAACGCATAATGTATGTTACTCCATGAAAGTAGGATCTTTCCATCTTTGTCAAGGGGGCTTGGACGCCACATCAATACATACACAACACGCCAAAGACCAGTAACTTACTGGCCTACATGCAACGTGAAACACAACGTAAAAGCATGTCACCATGACTACCTCGGCAGCAGCTGTGTCAGAGCGCAAAATCCGATGAGTCCTCCTGTCGTCATGCAATCTCTACAAAAGAGAAGAAGAGCCTTAGCTGTTCAAATTAGGTGGATGGTAATCACGTCGTCAGTCCAGCCGGGTTGTTGCAATGGATGACACATCGTCTGTATCCTTCCTCCACACACCACTCAGGAGGCAGCAGTGACCGCCATGCCAACTGCCATCTCGTTTGTACCCGCCTCCCGCTCTCCTTGCTTCCCCTGCTGTGCTTGCTGCTGCAGCTGCTGGGCCACTCCGTTTTGAGATTCCATGGGCTTATTCACACTTGCATTCCCCTCCCTGCCACCATCCCTCAACCCCTCACCTCCATAGTTACCCGCCATATCCACATCAGCTGACCGCTCCGGCCTGGGCGGCTGCTGCTGTTGCTGCTGTGCTGCCTGCACCTGAGATTGCACTTGAAACGGCACCTGCGGCTGAGCCTGCTGCACCAGTTGCTGCTGCTGTTGCTGCTGCTGCAGTGGTGCTGCATGCGCTGCAGCTAGAGGATGCTGCTGTGGCATGGCCCTAGCACCTGTTTGACCCTGTTCCTTGTGTGTCTGCTGCTGATGTGCCTGAGGGGGTGACTGCTGCTTCACATGCCCATGCCCGTGTGAGTGCGTCTGACCATGAGAAACCACCCCTTGCTGACCCTGCCCTTGAACCTGCCCCCCCTGCCCCTGCCCCATCTGCCCCTGATTCCCCTGCCCCTGCCCCCCTTGCCCCTGTCCTCCCCCCATCTGGGGCAACGGCGGAGGGGGGAGGTCAGGGGCGGGGATGGGGGTCATCTGGGGGGAGAGGGCGGGGGGGCCGGGGTGAGCGAGGGGGGCGCGCACGTAGAGCTGGCCGTGTAGGGTTACCACTGCTGACGTCTGATTCGCATTGATGGCTGCTGGCAGCAGAATCACCTGAAAGGGGGGGGGGGAGGCGAAGGAGAGAGGGGAGGGAGGGGAGGGAGGGGAGGGAGGGGAGGGAGGGGAGGGAGGGGAGGGAGGGGAGGGAGGGGAGGGAGGGGAGGGAGGGGAGGGAGGGGAGGGAGGGGAGGGAGGAGAGGGAGGGGAGGGAGGAGGGTGAGGGAATGGATGGTAACAGAGGGACGGGGGTAGTGCGTCTCCTGAAAGGACTTTTGAGGCGCCTCAAAAAACGGGGTAGTGGGCCTCCTGAAAGGGAAGGGCGGGTGAGGGAGACGGAGGACGGGGCAGCCGACAGATAGACAACTGAAGCCCAATCACTTGTGGAGTATGCACAGCCAAGTTCCCACATGAACTCTTAACTGCCAAGGAGGCTCTTCACAGGTCTCCCACCCCACACTTCTTCTTCCTTGGCCCATACTTCTTCTTCCTTGCCTCACACTTCTTCTTCCTTGCCTCACACTTCTTCTTCCTTGCCTCACACTTCTTCTTCCTTGCCTCACCTTCTTGGATGGCGTGACTCCCCGCGGGTTGTCAGGTGGTTGCTCCATGTGTTATGAGTCTCGCTTTGAGTCGTCGACTCACAGTTTTTTTTTACTACCAAGGAGACTCCCCAAAGGTCACCTTCCCATGCCATACGCTCGCTCACCTTCTTGAATGGCGTGACTCCCCACGGGTCACCTTCCCATGCCACACTTCTTCTTCCTTGCCTCACCTTCTTGAATGGCGTGACTCACTCCCCACGGGTCACCTTCCCATGCCACACTTCTTCTTCCTTGCCTCACCTTCTTGAATGGCGTGACTCCCCAGGGGTTGTCAGGTTGCTCCGGCTCCCCTGCAATGACCAGCTTGCCTGCCGGCTCACACTGCACCCGCACCTGAGAGGGGGAGAGAAAGCGGCCGGGGGGAGGGAGTGTGTGAAGTGAAGGAGTTGGAAGGCATGTCAATATTCCCCTGCAATGACCAGCTTGCCTGCCGGCTCACACTGCACCCGCACTTGAGAGGGGGCGAGAAAGCGGCCGGGGGGAGGGAGTGTGTGAAGTGAATGAGTTGGAAGGCATGTCAATATTCCCCTGCACTGACCAGCTTGCCTGCCGGCTCACACTGCACCCGCACCTGAGAGGGGGAGAGAAAGCGGCCGGGGGGAGGGAGTGTGTGAAGTGAAGGAGTTGGAAGGCATGTCAATATTCCCCTACAATGACCAGCTTGCTTGCCGGCTCACACTGCACCCGCACTTGAGAGGGGGCAAGAAAGCGGCCGGGGGGAGGGAGTGTGTGAAGTGAATGAGTTGGAAGGCATGTCAATATTCCCCTGCACTGACCAGCTTGCCTGCCGGCTCACGCTGCACCCGCACCTGAGAGGAAGTAGGGATGTTGGTGCGGTGCAGTGTGGTATGTTGTGTGTGAACATGTCTAGGGCACCTCAAGCCGCACTTCTATCAAGCTGCGTGAGACCGGGGACAAGTGTGATAGACGTGTACTTTTGAGACACATAAATCTCACAGCTCACCTCTTGCCTCAGCTCACCTCTTGCCTCAGCTCACCTCTTGCCTCAGCTCACCTCTTGCCTCAGCTCACCTCTTGCCTCAGCTCACCTCTTGCCTCAGCTCACCTCTTGCCTCAGCTCACCTCTTGCCTCAGCTCACCTCTTGCCTCAGCTCACCTCTTGCCTCAGCTCACCTCTTGCCTCAGCTCACCTCTTGCCTCAGCTCACCTCTTGCCTCAGCTCACCTCTTGCCTCAGCTCACCTCTTGCCTCAGCTCACCTCTTGCCTCAGCTCACCTCTTGCCTCAGCTCACCTCTTGCCTCAGCTCACCTCTTGCCTCAGCTCCCCTCTTGCCTCAGCTCACCTCTTGCCTCAGCTCACCTCTTGCCTCAGCTCACCTCTTGCCTCAGCTCACCTCCTGCCTCAGCTCACCTCTTGCCTCAGCTCACCTCTTGCCTCAGCTCACCTCTTGCCTCAGCTCACCTCCTGCCTCAGCTCACCTCTTGCCTCAGCTCACCTCTTGCCTCAGCTCACCTCTTGCCTCAGCTCACCTCTTGCCTCAGCTCACCTCTTGCCTCAGCTCACCTCTTGCCTCAGCTCACCTCTTGCCTCAGCTCACCTCTTGCCTCAGCTCACCTCTTGCCTCAGCTCACCTCTTGCCTCAGCTCACCTCTTGCCTCAGCTCACCTCTTGCCTCAGCTCACCTCTTGCCTCAGCTCACCTCTTGCCTCAGCTCACCTCTTGCCTCAGCTCACCTCTTGCCTCAGCTCACCTCTTGCCTCAGCTCACCTCTTCCATCAGCTCACCTCTTCCCTCTCCTCACCTCCCCTCAGCCTCACCTAAATCCCATGATACCCCTTCCTCCACCTCACCTCTTCTCACAGCTCACCTCTTCTCATAACTCACCTCTTCTCACAGCTCACCTCTTCTCATAACTCACCTCCTCTCACAACTCACCTCCTCTCACAGCTCACCTCCTCTCACAACTCACCTCCTCTCACAGCTCACCTCTTCTCACAGCTCACCTCTTCCCGCAGCAGCCCCGGGACAAGAGCATAGATCTCGAAGCAGTCCGGCTGGAAGGTAGGGGGCGGATCGGAAGGAGGAACTCCATTGGGTTGGGAGGAATGTCAACTTCAATGATAAGAACCAAGAGCACAGATTTTAAGCCAGTCCGGCTGGAGCGGTGTGGGATGGGGAAGGGATGGACGGGGAGGGGGAGGGATAGATTTTTGAGGCGCCTCAAAAATGGGGGAGGGATGGAGATGTAAGAGCATGGAGAGAAACAACCTTGGGGAATTAAATGTGACCTTCGAGAAGACTCAAAACGCGATCTAGAGGAGGAGAGGCATGCAGAGGAGGAGAGGCATGCAGAGGAGAAGAGCGGTGGTTCATGCAAGCAATGAGGAGGGGGCGGTAACCCAACCCAATCCACCCGTACAGAGCGCCTGACCTTGAGCTGACCCCAGTCACCCAGTCACCCAGTCACCCAGTTAGTCAGCCAGCCAGCCCAATCCAACTCCCGACTCAACCCAACCCATCTGCACGGAGCGTGGTGTAGTGATTTCGTTTTGAGACGTCTCAACACGAAATTGATAGCCCAGTCAGCCAGTCAGCCAGTCAGCCAGTCAGCCAGTCAGCCAGTCAGCCAGTCAGCCAGTCAGCCAGTCAGCCAGTCAGTAAGTCAGCCAACCAGCCAGCCAGGCAGGCATCACTCCAAATCCTGACCCAACCCAACCCATCCATACCGAGCGCCTGACGTTGATTCGAACCCAATCAGCCGGCAAGCCCAGGTCATTCACCACTGCCACTGCACCATCATCCATCCCCGGACCCACTCCTCCCCCTGCTCCCCCCCCTGCCCCTGCTCCCCCTCCTACTCCCCCTCCCACCCCTCCTCCTCCCGCTCCTCCTCTACCCTCCACCCGTCCAGCTCCCCCTTCCCCTGCAGTCCGCCTCCCCCCCTCCCGCCCTGAAGTGCCACCTCCCCCGGGTGTGCCTGCCCCGCTGCCAGGAGGCCTGCCTCTGGGCCTGGGCGCGTCTGCTGCTCTGGCCGCTGACCCAGGTGTTCCCTCAGGTGCCTCCTCTGTTGGTCGGGGGGGAGGGAGAATGGGAGACAACGGTAAGAGGTCTGGACGAGATGATGAGTTTGCCGGTGTGAGAGTGAAAGAGCGAGGGAGGGAGGGAGGGAGGGAGTGAGGGAGTGTGCGAGTGAGGGAGGGAGGGAGTGAACGAGTGTGGGAGTGAGGAAGGGAGGGAGTGAGGGAGTGTGCGAGTGAGGAAGGCAGAGAGTGAGTGAGGGAGCATGCGAGTAATGGAGGGAGTGAGGGAGTGAGGGAGTGTGCGAGTGAGGGAGGGAGTGAGGGAGTCAAGGATCGCATGAACGGCGTGTGCAGGGAATGCAAGCAGACCATAGCCAATCCCCTATCACTCAACTCAACAAGCCAAGAGGTCCTAGCCAAGGTCTTGCATTGAACAGAGGAAGGAAGGACATATAGGACGTCCTCACAACAGTCCTCACCTCATCTCCCACGCGCCGTACAGATTCCTCAGCTGCCGCTGCTTGCATCGACCCAACAACTATCCCTCTCTTCACAACCTCCCCCCCCACCCCACCTCCTCTCCCCTCTCTACTCCCACTCACCACCATACTGGTTCCTCCGGTGCTGCTTTGAGTCAGACTCAACAACCATATCTCTTTTCGTACTCCTCCCCCCCCCCCTTCCCCCCTCCCCCCTCGCCCTCCCCTTCTCTACTCCCACTCACCACCATCCTGGTTCCTCCGGTGCCGCTTTGGGCCTGACCCTGGAGTGCCCCGTTCCTGGAGAAAAGAAAAGAAGAAGAAAAAAACAGCGAGAGGGGGGGGGGGGGGGGGAGGAACAAGAGGGCCTTCTCAGATGGTGTGACAAAAAATCAGAAGATTCCGAGACGACACATAGTCGTAATGAGTGTCAGTGGCCAAAATTTCAAGAAAAACAAAAATCACCTTGGGAATATCCGTGTGCGCGCTATCACAAGGGCCAGTCTTGCCTTTGAGGCGCCACAAAAGCAGACACCACCTGTGAGGCATCTCACCTTAAGAGAACCCTACCTCGAGAGCACCCCACCTTGAGAGGTTACCTCACCTTGGGAGTATCCGTGTGATCACCATCCCCAGCGCCTGTCTTGGCTGCAGCCACCCTCTTGGCTCCACGTGGCCCACTGCCCCCCTGCTGAGATGCCATCATTTGAAGTGCAGGGTCCCGGAAGGAGGGGGAAAGGGGAAGGGGAGGGGGTGGGGGAGGACAAGGGGTCAGGAAAGGGGGCTGGGTGAAAGGTCTGGGGGAAAACCAGCGGAAGGGGTGAAGTATTGAGGAGTCTCAAACAGATGCAACTCGTCTGGTCAGACGCCACTCGTCTAAGGTAAGTTGGTATTTGAAGTTTCTCAAAAACCAGCAGACGGCCTTCAAGTGTTGAGGCGTCTCAAACAGACGCCACTCGTCTGGTTGCATGGGCAGTCGAGGCGAGTAAAAACTCGACTCGATTGCTCGACTCGTTTTTTCCGAGTAACGAGTCGGCACCCCCTGGAAATTACTCGCCCCGAGTCGAGTCGAGTTAACTCGTCGAGTAAACGAGTACCCGACTGTTACTCGTCTCATTTGGGCGAGTAAAAATTACTCGCGAGCAATTTTTGCTCGCGAGCAACAACTCCGCGCGTGCACTGATTTTGCTCACACATAGCATGCATGCCAAGTCATCTTGGGCTGGCCTAATGATTCAGACCCCTAAAATGCTCCCCTCCTTAAATGTGACTGTTCGGGGAGGGGGGGCAAAGAGCCCCGAGGCGAGTAATGCTTGCCTCAGGGCGAGTAAAAATTACTCGCCCCGAGTAAAACGTTTACTCGCCCCAAAAACGAGTAAAGGAGTCGGGTTCTTGGCAAAAAAACTCGGCTCGAGTAATGCTCGACTTGCCTCCCAAGAGGGTCGAGTCAGAATTACTCGGAGCAAGTAATGCTCGACTCGCCTATCGCCCATGCAGTGGCACTGCCAGCCACCCTGCTGCGAACCAAAAGGGATGAGGGTACCATGGAGGGAATAATCACTAGGTGGTTTTTTAGTCGACTCAAAAATCACCATGGAGGGATGGAACCATGGAGGGATGGAAGCAATGAGGGAACCATGGAAGCATGGAGGGATGGAAGCATGGAGGGAATACTCACTGAACTACCTTCGAAGGAACTCTCTTGCCCCCGTGGAGATTCGTTGGCCCCATGCACACTCGCTTGCCCCCACTGGGCCCCCTCAGTATCGGACAACTTTAAAAGGTCCACATTAAGCTACCCTAATCAAATTCATCCCCACCTCCTACCCCCCATGGTGCTTGGCGTCGGATCTCGGGGTGATGGCCAGGGTGCCCTCCAGCATGGGGTCCATGCTGCTTCAATCACCCCACACTAGAACACACCACCGGAGTCACACTTTCTCCAGTCCCTCTCACCTCCTGCCCCCCGTGGTGCTTGGCGTCGGATCTCGGGGTGATGGCCAGGGTGCCCTCCAGCATGGGATCAACACCCACATGCCGTTCGTACTCCAGCAGAGCCTAAACAGGAAGGAGGGGGCGGGAGGAAAAGGGGGAGGACCATGTGTATCTGGGCTTATTACGCCCCCCAGCATGGGATCAACGCCCACATGCCGCTCGTACTCCAGAAGAGCCAGGAGATGAGGGTGGAAGAGGGAGGGGAGGAAGCGGGGGGGGAGACCATGTGTATCTGGGCTTATTATGCCCTCCAGCATGGGATCAACGCGCACATGCCGTTCGTACTCCAGCAGAGCCCGGAGAGGAGGGTGGAAAGTGGAGGGGAGGACGAGGGAGAGGGGGGGGACCATGTGTATCTGGGCTTATCACGCCCTCCAGCATGGGTCCACGTTCACATGCCGCTCGTACTCCAGCAGAGCCTAAACAAGAAGTGGGGGGGGAGGGAGGTAAGAGGAGAAGGGCCATATGTACAGTTGGCGGTTCTAAATGGGGGGTTTATTCTTAACACAAACCACCCAAATCCTTTCTCGAGAGACCGCGGAATGCGCTTTCATTTCATCCTTTCAAAAAGCGAGCTACGCAACGAACCGAATATCTGGAACCTACACTCACTCTCGCGATGCATTTGTGAGCAGAAATCAATCACAGCGCGCCAAGTCTTTGAGAGCCTCGCTTCAATATCGAGTGGGAGGCGAATATTCTGGCCGCTTCAGAAGATTGTCAGTGGGCTACGCTGTATAGCTTGTCACAACCCACCAGACCCTGCCACAACCCACCAGACCCTGCCACAACCCACCAGACCCTGCCATAACCCACCAGACCCTGCCACAACCCACCAGACCCTGCCACAACCCACCAGACCCTGCCACAACCCACCAGACCCTGCCACAACCCACCAGACCCTGCCACAACCCACCAGACCCTGCCACAACCCACCAGACCCTGCTACAACCCACCAGACCCTGCTACAACCAACTCAGCATACCTTCTCGTAGAAACCCCGGAATGACCAGGAGAGTGTCGTGCATGATCTGAAACGGAAAAGAAAGCAACCAAGTCTCAGAATAAGTCATTTCATTTCCATGCGTGAGGAGTCTGTTTTTTAGGCGCCTCAAAAAGAGTGTCGTGCACGACCTGAAGCAAGACAAGACTCAGAATAAATAATTTTCAGCGGGATGGCCTTAACCAGCGAGTGCAGGCAGGATCGCCTGCACAGGCGCAGCTACTATGCCAGCAGAAACGAGGAAATTGCGCTAAGAGGAATACAAGTTGGGAAATTGCACTTAGAGGAATACAAGTTCGAAAATTACAGTAAGAGAAATTCAAGTTAGGAAATTGGCAGACCGTAAAACTAGAGTACATACTTGGGTGGGTCGAATTGGTCTCCAACGACGCGCCAGAGCTTGCCACTTGTCACCTGATGATTGGCACACACAAAAATGGAAGCTTGGAGAATAAGCGGTTCTCAGACAAGAAGAAATAGAAGCAGACTTCAAATCAACGACGTAGGTTTCTTTTCAGCGAGGGAGAGGAAAGTGGCTACCTTGTCAAAGCCACCGAAGGAGCAGACAACTTGCCAAAGTCTGCAAGCAGAGAAGGAGGCGGAGAGAGGGGGGGGAGGGGGGAGGGAAGAGGGGGGGGGAGAGGGCGAGTGGGGTGAGTGACAGAGGAGAATATAGGAAGGAGGAATGAGAGGAGAGGCAACACGGTAAGGCCAGAAAAGCAGAAAAGCGAGCCGCGACCACGACGCCCCTGCTGCTGCCGCCGCGGAGAGCGCTCAGCCACGCAGAGCGCTCTGCCGCTGAGAGCGCTCTGCCGCTGAGAGCGCTCTGCCGCTGAGAGCGCTCTGCCCCTGAGAACGCCCTGCCGCCGTCCAAAAAAAGCGACTTTCCAAGCGCGTATTTTAAAAGTTCGTACTCTCTATTGCGAGTTCGAGAACGGGGGAAAACGCGTGAGGAGGGTAGGTGGGAGTAGGTCGTACCCCGTTTCGCTAGCCTAGCACAGAACCTTGCTGTCCGCGATAAGAACATAACTCACTTTAACAGATCCACCTCCACGCCATAGAACTTGGGAACCTTAAACTCCTGATGACGCGTCTCGAAGAACGCCTGGAGCTCCTTAACGAACGCCTTAGTATCCGAGCCGCGACCGGGCGGCGTCCGTTGCGGCGTAGTCTCCATCCCCGACGAACCGCCTACGCCGCCGATTAAAGCCGCGGGAGGGCCGGGCGTGCTCGGACCGCTTCCTTCGACCCCACCTTGACCGGGAAAAGAGCTTCCATGAGTTCCGGAAATTCCGGGACCTCCGCCTGGAATGTTCCCAATTACGTGACCGCCGGGAACGGAACCAGGGGTAGAAATCGGAGTCGTTTCTATTTGAGAGGGTATATCTTGGGCGGTGAGGATTTTGGACGGATCTCGAGGAGGTTCGAAGCCGCGCGAAGCGGGTGGGGGGAGGTGCGGGAGATTTGACGACACACCAGATGCCTTTTGGGTCGAGTCAAACGGCACCGGAAGATTCGGCGGTAAGCCAGATCCGTTTTCAGGACGGGCGGCAGCTTCTTTGCCGTCCTCCATATTAGATTAGTCTTGAGCACTGCAGTAACGAACAATCCGCTGGAGATTAACCGTAAGCAACGAAACGGACACTTACGGGTCTATCAGCTTCGCTGGGAACGGACTTGCGCAGAAGTCGCCCTGGCTTGGCCGTTCAAACTAACTCTCGCTGACATCTTCCATATTACTTTACAAGCTGGCGGACAACTAACGCAGCCTACAGCCGAAAGAGAAACTGATCGAGCACGGAGACACCAGGGAGAGGGAACGAAAGATTATGTACGTAGTGGAGCGAAACCAGCGGCTAAGTCGCTGCGTGGTGGAGGGAGAAAGAGATGAAGCACACCAAATCCCCAAGAAACAGCGCCATTCCTCCCTGCTTCCCTAATTTACCATCACCTTCCCCCCCTGCCTCGGGTTTGCTCTGTTCTTGACCTTGCCAGAGACAGATCCATGATTCCCTGCAATTCTCGCACCCCAACACATGGCGGCGGGTGAGGGGAAATCAGTTTCGTCAGAGTTCGTCAGGAGGGCGCGAAAAGTATCGGGTAGCAGGATAAGACTGTCGCAGTTGCTCGTCAGGGACCCTGATTTCTCGCCGAATGGGTTGACGGTTGCCGTCCACGATGGATTCTCTTTCTCACCTCACCAGCTCGAAAGTTGGGCTGGATTTGGATTCCTCTTGCACAAAACCGTCTCTGTTGGATCCTCCTGCGCATTCAGCTATCGATGTTCAATGTTCGATATTAGTATGGAACATATGCTCCACCATAAGGTCTTGTGTGTCTTCATATAGTTCGCTCCAAAAGCAACCATAAGGATCTTACTCACCACCATCCTATCTTTTGAACTAGGTAACGTGTATGAATGACAAATGGGACCAAACAAACCCGCTGAGTCATTCCCATCCACACCTTGACCTATATATATATATATGCTGATGTAGCAGACCAACCTTACAGATGCACTAGCCTTGTGCTTGGGACCGGTGAAAGTGAATGTTCTTCCACTCCCAAGCTCCGTCAGCAGTCTTGCGCCTCTCCCATACTCTCGTCTCGTTGAATGCTTTGCTTTCCACCTTTCCTGAAGCATCAGTCATCTGAATGAGACGCGTGTAGGAGACAATACCCGCATTCCCAGCAATGGCAATGTGGGGTGCAACCATGGTCGACTTTGATGAGCCGTTTCCAGAACTGCGATCAAAATAGTACTTGTGGAAGTCCAGGCCCTTGACCAAGCCACCTGCAAGCCAGAGGTTGAACAGTCAGAGGCAAAAAAGAGCTCTAAACATACTTGATATATCGGGTATTGCAATACCTTGTGCTTCTGGCTCGAAGGCGGTGAGCTGCGCATCAGAGAGGTTTGAATATGTCTTGTAGTCCCCAGTGTCAACTGCATTTAGCAAGGCCTTCGTGTGGTCCAGCAGATCACCCTGTGTGTGACCATAAAAAGTCAGCATTGAGACTGTTTCCAAAAAAGCGATCACGAAAAGAAGCACCTGGTGTATACCTCACGGAACTTGGTAAAAAGAGGAGAAACTGCTTGGAACACTTCGTCTGGGGAACGGGTAGCATCGATCTGCGTCGGAGTCAGGGGGAGAGGAAAGGATAACACTGATAACAGGCTGCATTGCAAATGCATCACCGCATGCAATCAGTCACTCCACTCCAGGTCATAGGATGCTGGCAAATTACGAGCATGGCCACACAGAAGAAAGGGCCATGCTGCCACAACACTTTCGACAACTTGCTTTCCTGGACTTCATGTGAGAGAAGCTCTAATAGGCACATCCAGCTGACATCAGGGAATCAGTGCGTGAGACGCACAATACATCAAAACCTCCCCCACGGACCTTTCGCACTTTGCCGCGCAGGTCATAATGATTCACAACTGGAATACTCTGGTCCAAGAAGACCCGGAACCTTTTTTTGATAGTATCCATGTTGTCGTCAATACGGCCCTGCAGAAAATGAGAGGTTCAACAGTACCCGGAGTGAATCCCTCAGTTACAAAAGTAAGACAGCCTGGCAATAAAAGAATAGAATGAACTCACCTGGTTTCTGCCAAGCAGACGCTTAACCATTACGTCCTCTGGGCAATCAAAGAATAGAATAAACTCAGGATCGACTCCAGTCTGCAAGCAATGAAAAGCTGTCAAAAGTCTGAACCAGTACACCCGATAAATGAACAATGCAATTTTACTTTACCTGCTTCTCGAAAACAGTCCTGTTATCATTGTTCCGAGGGAACCCGTCAATAAGAAACTTGTTATTCCCGCTCTCCTTCATTGCCTTCTGAAGAAGACCAACAGTGACCTCGGCTGGAACTATCTTTCCCTCCTTGATCATGTTCTGAATCATGTTTCTGTAGCAGCCGAAAAACGTAGACCTCAGCAACGATACGATGTACAGCAGAAGCGACGCTAAATAGCAAAGAGAATCATTCATCCCTTACCCGTGAGAAGATCCGGACTTGATCTCGGCGCGAAGTAGGTCGCCAGCGCTCAAGTGAGTGAATCCGTATTCCTCTACAATCTTGGCGCACTGAGTTCCCTTGCCACTCCCAGGACCGCCTGCTCCGAGCAGTGCAGTGATAGTTTCTTAGAGATTTCAACGGAAGTTTACGTCAGCGGGCTACAGATAACGACGAGAGGAACGTACCAAGGACGAAGATGATCTGCGGCTTAAAAGATCCATCTGGTCCTCCGCTAGCGGACTTTCCGGCACTACCTTCCTGCACGGACGCAAACGAAGACTTCAGTTATCGGGTTATCACTAGAAGGAGAGGAGAAAGGATATAGCTATGGCGGCCCGTACCGATGAGGCTTCCGAAAAAGCTATCGATTCGGAAGGACTGACGACTGCCGGAAGAGTGGCTACTCCACCGGCTGCCAGAAGCCATCCCAGACGACACCACTTCTGTTCACAGAAATACGTCTACGTTCAAACAACCGTAGAAAAACACATCCTCTGATATGAAGCAAAAAAATGTAAAAGAAAACTGAGACTCTCACATTCGTCTCAGGGGAAGTGACCCCCACAGAATCCGCAGTTCCAGCTGCGCCTGACTTTTGCCCGTGAGCCGCGCATGGCACCGCGTCTGCCTGCAAGGCGCTGGACGAGTCGTTAACGACATCGAAAAGGACGAGAATGACTATCCACTTCTCTCGTTACTCACAAGCACACGCGGAGAGAACACCGACGGGAGGCGACCACGCTTCTTGAGGATCTCAGTAAGAGCATTTCTGGCAGCCATGTTGCTTGATCGGCGAAGATCAAGAGGTTGACCAAGCCAACAAATGGACAGTGATATCAGCCTAGCCACGAAACTAGCAGAGAGAAGGCTGAAGAGATGCGTGGTGGAAAACACGGAGATTGCTTGAGGATCAATGTATGGTTGGTGGTGATTTGGTCGCACCAATCGAGCAGAGGTAGATCCGTCAGCCCAGCTGCGAGGCGCGGTTAATAAAAAGCTAAGGTTATTTTTTTCTTTTGATAGAGCGTGTCGATGTAGTATAATGGTCAGTATCTCCGCCTGTCACGCGGAAGATCCGGGTTCGATCCCCGGCATCGGCGCTTTGTTGTCGTCAACTGAATTTTTCCCAGCCTTTCCTTTCCATCTTCAAAGACGGCAGAGATTTTCGCAATCATTTTTTCTTCGCCCTCGTCTAAGGTAATTTGGTCATGTCCGTCTCGAGCGCTCTCGAACAAATGGCTGCTCTGTCACAGGACGATCGATTAGCCTCTCGCAATTCCCCCTGCACTTCCTCCGCCTCCCCCTCTTCCGCCTCCGCCGCCTGCTGCGCGTGCCATGGCGCCTCCGCTCCCCCGATGCACCAGTCGTTGGAGGAGATGGACTTCGAGCGGGGCCTTGGGGGTGCCGCGCAACGGGGGGACGTTGCGCGGGTGCGCTTTCTGCTCAGTCGAGGCGCTTGCGCGGACGGGTGCCTGCCACGTGGCACCGACGGAGGGGATACCGGCAGCGCGCCACCGAACGGGCACACGCCTCTGATCTACGCCGCGCGTGCCGGACACGTGGAGGTCTGCGATTTGCTGCTGAAGGTGCGTGAAACGCAGCCTTTACCTGCTGCTGACGAGATAAACGCCCCATTGCATCAGCTTCCCCTTCGTGTTTCTCAATCTGTGAGTCTCTGTTTCGTAAGTTCCTAAGAACCAACCTCCCCGTTCCATCCCGGGGGGTTGCAGGGGCAGGAAGGCGTCACCGCGTGATCCCTGTCCTATGTCCCCCTCCGTCCCCCTCCGCCCCCCCCCGCCCCTCCCCCGCCCCCCCTTCTTTCCCCCCTCCGATCCCTTCCTCTCCATCCTTCCCTCGCCATCCTCACTCCCTACACTGAGCATCAGTAGCAGGAAGAACCAGAGCAGGGGGCGCCACCGCTCTGCACCGCACTGTAGGGAGGCAGGGACCAAGAGCGGACCATGGTGCCTCATTTCTCCCCTACCACCCCTTCCTCCCTGACCTCCCCGCAACAAGATGGCTCCTGAGTCGACTCAGAAGTCATATCTCGCCCACCACCCCACGTTCCTTGACCTCCCTCCCTGCAGCGCGGAGCGTCAGTGGGGTTGAACACTAGAGCAGGCTGCGCCACCCCTCTGCACCGCACTGCACCGAGCTGCAGGGGCGGGGCCTAAACTCAGGGTTGCTGGCCCATGATATTTTCTCCCCACCTCCCTGCAGCACGAAGCGTCAGTGGGTGTGGGAACGAGATCGAGAGCAGGGGCGCCACCGTTCTGCACCATGCTGCAGAGGGAAAGAGTTGACCGTGCAGCGTCCTAGCTCCCCAACATCCCATCTCACCTTACTCCCCTGCAGCAAAGAGCATCACTGGGAGCGAGAATGAGAGCAGGGGACGCGACCGCTCTGCACCGCGCAGCAGGGGCTGAGCATGAAGGGGTTGCTGGCACACGAACAAAGTAACCCCCCCCCTCCTCCTCCCCCACCTCCCTGTCTCCACTTTCTGCAGCACGGAGCGTCAGTGGGGGCAAGGACGAGGGCAGGGGGCGCCACCGCTCTGCACCGCGCAGCAGGGGGGGGGGCATGAGGGGGGGTGTGGGTGGCTCGTGTACATGTAACTTAAGATATGTGGATGACTTTTTGCCTGCCCGTTGCAGCACGGGGCTTCAGTTGGAGCAAGGACGAGAGCAGGGGCTGCCACCGCTCTGCACCGCGCTGCCGGGGCGGGGCATGAGCAGGTGGTGCAGCTGCTGCTGGCGCATGGTGCTGACGTAGCAGCTGTGGATTCTGATGGGTTGACTGCTGCGGATAAAGCCAGTGAGTGGGTGGGAGGGAGAGGGAGAAAGGGGGGGTGGGGGGGGGAAGAGGTAGGAAGAGACAGGCGAGGGTATTGAAGATGTGTATATGGGGCAGCTGTGGATGCTGATGGCTTGACTGCTACAGACGAAGCTGGTGAGTGGGTGGGAGGGAGAGGGAGAGAGGGGGGGGGGGGAGAGGTAGGAAAAGACAGGCTAGGGTATTGAAGATGTGTAAACGGGGCAGCTGCGAGTGCTGGTGGCTTAACTGCTACAGACGAAGCTGATGAGTGGGAGTTTGGGAGAGGGAGGGCGAGGGAGTGTAGGCAGAGAGATGGGACATAAAAGAGGAGGCCTAGAAATGGGGCTGCTGTTACTGCTGATGGCTTGAGTGCTGCAGAGAAGGCTAGAGAGTGGGGGTGGGGATGATGTATTTGCTTCCACCGCATGTCTCGCATTATCGCTTGCTCCTCCTGTGCCCATGTGCGCCCACATACTGACATCTCCCCATGATGCCGTGATGTTGCGCCTTGGCCGTGTACCCACCAGTGTTTTTTGCTGCAGAGTGTCAGAATCATGAGAGCATTGTAGCCCTACTCTCCCCCCTCTCTCCCCTCTCTCCCCTCTCTCCCCTCTCTCCCCATGTACCCACTGGTGCCTGATGCTGCAGGTTGTCAGAATCATGAGAGCATTGTAGCCGTACTCTCTCCCCTCTCTCCCCTCTCTCCCCATGTACCCACTGGTGCCTGATGCTGCAGGTTGTCAGAATCATGAGAGCATTGTAGCCGTACTCTCTCCCCTCTCTCCCCTCTCTCCCCTCTCTCCCATATGTACCCACTGGTGCCTGATGCTGCAGGGTGTCAGAATCATGAGAACATTGTAGCCCTAATCTCTCCGCACCAGCTGAAGCCCTAATGACTGCTGGCTGGCATTGTGACTTAGTGCCCCAAGATAAAATAGCAAACCCCATTCAAATTGGACCCAGCTTGAACAAGAAAATGGGCTTGGTTAGAAGAAGAGTTGGGTTTTTTTGGGGGGGGCAGCTGGCTATGTTCGGGATAGATTCGGAAGCAGTTAGTGCATGGAAACTATCGAATTCGAGGCGGGACTTACTGTTCACTTGCTCGTGTGACGACAATCTTGCCTCTCGTACAGCTGGCGAGGCGTCGCACTACTTCAGATCCCGCTGTGACACCCCAGAAAAAAACCTGTGTCAAAGTAGTGAAGTGAGCTCTAGGGAGCCATGTGACATAAGGGTTTGGTGTTGTACTCTCTAAGAGCACTAACCCATCTAGCCTATAATTATACATGCACAGCAAATGTTGAAGTTGACACACCCCCTAGGCTAGATAAGGGGCAGTGCCTAGCAACAGACACAGCTCAAGGCGGCACTACTAGTCCGACCTCTGAAGCAGGGGTCCGAAGACCAGTCAACAAGAGTTCTAACTCAACAAGAGTATCTCAGGGCGGCACTGTCAACTTATACATATTATCTATGTAGAAGTTATAGGCTAGACTGAGGTATGCTTCTAGTGAGTACAACCAACTAGTATTTGTTCTAGGTTTCCACCTCTAGTAATCATTCGTTTCTACGTTAACATGGTATCACGCTTAGGTTAGGATCCCCCCGCCTACCGCTTCCGCCCGTCGCGCCTCCTAGGCCCCGTCGCGCCCCCTAGGCCCCGTCGCGCCCCCCCTGGGCCCCGTCGCGCTCGTTAGGCCCCGTCGCGCCCCCCCTGGGCCCCGTCGTGCCCGCTGGGCCCCGTCGCGCCTCCTAGGCCCCGTCGCGCTCCCCCTAGGCCCCGTCGCGCCCGCTGGGTCCCGTCGCGACCCCTAGGCCCTAACGCGCCCCCGCTGGGCCCCGTTGCGCCTCCTAGGCCCCGTCGCGCCCCCCATGGGCCCCGTCGAGCCCGCTGAGCCCCGTCGTGCCTCCTAGGCATCGTCGCGCCTCCTAAGCCCCGTCGCGTCCCCCCCCTCTGGGCCCCGTCGCGCCCGTTCGGCCCCGTCGCGCCCCTCCTAGGCCCCGTCGCGCCCGCTGGGCCCCTTCGCGCTTCCTAGGCCCCGTCGCGCCTGCTAGGCCCCGTCGCGCCCCCCCTGGGCCCCGTCGCGCCCGTTAGGCCCCGTCGCGGCCCCCCTGGGCCCCGTCGTGCCCGCTGGTCCCCGTCGCGCCTCCTCGGCCCCGTCGCGCCCCCCCTGGGCCCCGTCGTGCCCGCTGGGCCCCGTCGCGCCCCTTAGGCCCCGTCGCGCCCGCTGGCCCCTGTCGCGCCTGCTGTTAGCGCTCGCCCGCCTGGCCTCCTCCTAGTGCCGCTCGGCCTCCTCCTAGTGCCGCCCGGCCTCCTCCTAGTGCCGCCCGGCCCCTTCCTAGCGCCGCCCGGCCTCTCCTCAGCGCTGCCCGGCCCCTCCTTGTGCCCGACCGGCCCCAGCAGCACCAGCCTGGCCCCTCCCAGCACCAGCCCGGCCCCAGAGCACCTGCCCGCCTCCCCTGCTCGGCCTGCCGTGTCCTCTCGGGCCCTGTGTCTTCTGCTTGCCTGCGCTGGGACGCCTAGCTGCTGCCCTACTGGAGAGTGCTGCCGCCGTGTCCCCGCGCCGCTGTGCTCCTGTGCCGCTGAGGAGCTGTGCTGCTGTGCCGCTGTGTCGCTGAGGAGCTGTGCCGCTGACCCTGCACGATGGCTGACTTTGTGCTCCGCCTGGACGCTGAGGGCCACGCGGTTGACTTCGCCGCCTGGCTCTCCGATCTTCGCCGCCAGCTTACAGGTCAGCGCCAGGATGGCCACTCTCTGGTTGTCCATGCTGATGGCTTGCTCCCCCGTCCCCCTGCACCTACTCCCCTCCCTGCTGACCCCTCCTCTGATGACTGTGAGGCTTTCTCTACTGCTGCGCTGGCCTGTGCGATCTGGGACTCACGCGATGCAGTAGCTCAGGTTGCTATTAGTCACGCCCTCCCTGTGTCTGAGCGCTCGCGTTTTGCTACTGTTGAAACGGCCAAAGCTTATTTAGACGCCGTTATTGCTCGCTATTCCACCCCTGCCTCCGCTTCTGCTGGCCGCTTGCTCTTTCCGATGCTGTTCCCAGACCTGGCTGCCTTCCCTACTGTCGCAGATTTTGCCACTCATTTGCGTGCCCTAGAGACTCGCTATCGCACTGCC